CCCCCCCCCCCCCCCCCCCCGGGTGGACGGACACTCGCAATTTTTATTTTACTCACCAATATTACATCCTCTAATGTCTACAAGCTGTAAATCGTGCTTTGTCCTTTGTAAACATGCACAGTCAGCGAGAAGAGCCGCTTTCGGTCCGTCCAGACCTGAGACGTTCTGCAAAACAAGATGTTTCATTGGGCAGTTTGTGATCAGACTTCTTAAACAAAGCGTCCGTGATAGGGAAATTGAAGTTAAGAGAAGTTCTTGAAGGACAGTTCTTGCTTATGTCCCCAGATCGCATCTTTTTAACTATATGGGGAAACACACAAGATGTTAAAGGAAATGCGTATGGATCGCACGGTGTCACAAACTATTAAATGCATGTGGGGCTGAAAGTGCAAGGTTAACGTCGGCGGGAACCCACTGGGAAACCATGAAAGAACGCACGGGTTGTGCCGGTATGTCAGAACGCACAGGAGCTGAGAAGGCCAGGAAAAAACATAAAACGCAAACGCAAAACAAAAGGAAAAGGACGTGGAATAAACAGGAAACTTATAGAGTAATATACAAGGAAATGTACTAGTGAGCCCATAGGAAACGCGCGGTGTCACAAACAGGGAAGACACGGCGAATATTGCCAGGAATTTCCGGGGAACCATTGGAAAACAAAAGCAAACATGAACCGAAAACACGAGGAAACGCCCGCAGAACGAGCGGGAAACATATTTTGTTGTTATTTTTGTTGTTGTTGTTGTTGCGCGGGAAACATATGAGGAACCGAGATGAATTGTACGATTCCGCACAATGAATGCACGGAGTATCGGACTAGAAAGGACATGGGGGAACCCATAGTAAATGCACGGGAAATGTAAGAACTACAGCAACGCGTGGTGTAACGAACGGGAAAACGCATGGTGGACACCCTCCATTAAGCCGACAGCGGTGCAAGTCCCATTTGTCTTTTCCCACATTCACTGTAGAAAATACATGTATTCAACGGACACCTCTATTAAGCGGACGTGGACACCTTAAACTTGACTTTTATGGTCATTTCTATTGTTAGAAACCTGTATCAAACGGACACTGCAAAAAAATGCATGATTTTTTTGTCCACGTTTTAGCAGATCAGTCATTTAAGTTTGCCAACAAACTCAGCTGTCACAGAAATGTAATATTTTGTTTTGTTTTTACAGAACTTTTGTTCTTGTTTGATTTCGTAAACCTTCAAGTGATTCGATCAATATAGATACTGTTACTGTATACTTAAATCGCTTTTCCTCTCATACAACTCCAAAGAGGTACCAGGATCCTGTTTTGTGGGTGTGGCTTGATATTTTTATCACATTATCTCCAGTCATATTTTTTTTTGCGGAAGGGAGGGTGGCTCAATACCCTAAAAGGAAAGAAAGAAACCCACTACGAATTCATGAAAGCTTGTGAGGGAGACCCACAGATCTGACACAGATGAATGAATGACTTTGCGTGTGGCGGAAAGCGCAGGGATCAAAAGGGGAAATGGAAAGAGAAAGGTAAATGCATAAGGGAGCGCACAGTGAAAAGGACGATTAAAAGCCTACGGGGTCGTGAAGATAAGGGGAAAGTGGGTG